ATATGGTCATATTTAATAAAAAATACCAACCAAACAAAAATTCCCAAACCAACTACCACCATGCATACAATGATTTACAGGAAAACAAAAAAAACAACCAACCAACCAAAACATCAAGAAACCACCACACTTGGGAACTTTGGTTGTTCCGTGTGTTCACAGCTCTGATTGTAGAAGCTTTTCCCAGATGCGAGGCAATTTTTGCCAGGATGTGTTCAAATGAAATGACTTCCAAAATAAGAGACAATCTGGGGGATAATTCTAAAACTACCACCTTTGCAAGAGTCTACAAATAATAAAGCATTAGATAATTGCCAGTTTCAGATATTTCAATACTCAGTTTACTGTGGGTTTTTTTTTTCTGAGGCATATTCAGAGAAATAGCCAAAGCAACTGTAATGGCCTTCTGGGACAGGAAGACTAAGGTTTCTGTAAAAAATGTTAAATTAATTTTTATAGTGATGCAAAGTCAGGGAAGGGTTGTTAAGGGATGGCCTCTTGCCACAGGGTGGAGTTTTGTTTTGGTATCCTTTTAGAGTCTGCAGGTGTTTGGCAGGAGCTGAAATCAGGGCCAGCTGTGATATTTCAGCTCCGATATTTCCCTCCCCATATTTCTCAGAAGTGATGCATCAGGGTGATGTCTTACACCTGATGTGCTCTACTTGTGTGGTATGACTGTAACTGCTTGGGGGTGGTGGGGGAAATACCACTGCGTGGCTTTCATTTTTATTTGCAGCTGGCAATATTCATATAGTAAAATTCATCAACATGAATGCATTTACCCTGGTAAACATCAGATTTAAAGTATTTCTTGAACTGTCCATAATGTTTCTGGATTGCTTTGTTACTTTTTATATATGCCAGCCATTTAATTAAAGTAATGACACTGCATATGAACAGTGGTTTTACACAGTGCTATTACTAAAAGAAATTAGGAATTATATTGTGAAAAGGAGGAGAGCAGTATTTTAATGAAAACAAAAAAACCCTTCAGTCTCCTCACTTAACCACCAAAGATATTTGCTCTTTCATACTTAGCTGCAGGACAGCGCGTACCTGCTTTTGTTTTGGTTTATCTTTTGGGAGAATTTGAATAGTTTCTATTAAAAATGGTATTCTCTTTTAAGTTTGTTTTGTTTGGAAAACCTCAAACCACATTGTATTTCATACACATGTTCCCCAGGGTATGTTAAATGGGACCATACTGAGATCACTAGTAAGCTTTTTAAACCGTTTTAAGAATTCCTTTAATGTTCGTAGTATCTTGGCCTGGTTAAAAGAACACATTTTTAAAAACTAGCTTGAAAAAGTCGGGCTATAAAAAGCTTCATTATTATAGTCCATACTGTACACTCTCCTCTTTCTCATTTTGAAAGGGAATTGTTGCCTGAACTAGCGAATCTGCTCTCCTTCCTCTCAGACTTTTTGTCCATTCATGCGTAAGTACACATATACATCTATCCACAGACTGATTGACTTAGCAGTACAAATGCCTGTGGTATTCATTTTAACTTCACAAATGAATAAAAGATTATAATCAGTGGGAAAAGTGGACGTTTCCCTCCATTCATGGAAAAAACAGTATCACCTGGCACTCCAACTTAGCAAAAAAATTTCCTGGTTTTTGGCAGCTCGCTTGGAGTCCAACTGAAGCTGTTAATGATATTAACAAAATGTCCTGGGATCAAAAATGTGTTGTTTTATCTCAGCTTATAGAAGAAGTTATACAAACCACTCTTGGCCTTCACAGCTCTGAGGTTCTCTTAGCTAAAATAAAATCTGAAAAAAACAACCCACCTGTAGCTGATTAAGTTCCATCAGATCATTTCAGTCATCTCCTTTATTTGCCTTTCCTATCTCCTCAAAGTTGCTTCCATTCCTCCTTTGTAGTATTCCAACCTAGGATTTCTGTCTGTGGCTGGTACCAGCCCTATTTACCCTTTGCAGCAAGACTGACAGCTGAGCTGCCCTGTGTTTTGATGGTTAACTAACAAGGGGAACGCATCATCCCTGACAGCGTTCAAGGCCAAGTCAGACTGGGCTTGGAACAACCTGGTCGAGTGGAAGGTGTCCCTGCCCATGGCAGGGGGTTGGAAATAGATGAGCTTAAGGTCCCTTCCAACCCAAACCATTCAGTGATTGCTGATGTGCCTGAAGTGCATCTTGGTCACTAATGGTGCATGACTACTTACACTGAATAACTGCATAATGGATATCAAAATCCACAGATCAAGTAGGAAGACAGTCGCAATAATATGAAGTTAAAAATACATGATACTGTCTTTATGTGCAATTCTGCTGGTAACGCCCAAAACGGAAGAGGTTAGCAAGACCTAAGTATTACCTATTAGAGGTAGATTAGATTTGTCTATATTGAAGTTTCACCAGGTTTGATGTTTCTACGGAGTCTTTGCAATGGTTGAAAGTAAATAAGTACTGAAAGCTGATCATTGCATTATGATAAACTCTTTCATTTTATATCACATTGTACTTCTTTTTATACAGTATCAGTAAGTAAGGCTATTGAACACAAGCTGAGTGACATCTTTCCTAGAAATGTATTTCCTCATCTAAACTAAGACTGAAAAATCCCACCATATTATAATGGGAATACTGCGAAGCATGATTACAAAGTGCTCATACTTGATGACAGGGTTCAGCTTTACACATGAGAAAAATATTGCTGTGATTACAGTATGTTCTTGTTGACAGTTTTTCCCTGTTACAGTGCAGAGGGTACCTAGATTATGGATTCTCAGGTGTTGATACACTTTTTCCCCTAGTCTTAGGCACAGTCTTAGGGCATTGTTACAGGTTTTGAGGTTTCAGAAACCAAAACTGCAGAGTGGCTTATGAAAGAGCAAAGCTATACACACACATGTGTGTTTATCCCAGACTCATTTTGTCGGTACAGCAGCAGAAAGATGAACAAGTGGAGGGAGACTAGGTAAGGTACAATGGCAAAACCTACAGTTCACAAGGAATGTAAAAGTGAAAAGATTTGCTTGAACTGTCCCTAAATATCTAAATCCAAGCTCTGGATAAGTGACTCCAGGCAATGAAGTTACCTGTGAAGGTCTGAAGTCATCAAATCAAACATTTGGGTAGAAACTAGGAAACTACACTTAAGAGGCTGAGCATGCTGCTCTCCGAATTGCTGGTTTGCTTGATGGTGTCTCAGATACATAAAGGTGGAGTGGGTGGGTCTAATTTTATACAAGTGATGTAAAGTAAGTATCTTGCCATAACAGCAATATCTTAAACAGTTTTCTGTATTTCAAGAAAAAGTGCAGTCTTCCTCCCTCCTTGAACAGAATAATCACTAAGAAAAACACTTGAGGCAGGCAGCACCAGAAATTAAACACATGTATAACATGCAGCATCACCACAAATATTGACATTTCATTCCCAATAGTAATAAGAACACAGTGTCCAAGTGCCACTTATATCAAAGAAGGCTGTAAAAAAGACAATGTTTTCAAGCAGTTTCATCAGAAGGAAAAAAGCAAGAGATCAGTGTGGCCCTTTACAGGAACCGATCTTTTAAATCCACCATACGGTGGTCTCTGACTGCACAGTACTGTGATACCCTTTATAGATAGGCAAACTATCTGAAGTAACAACCTGACATTTATATACATAAAATCACAGTATCATCATAATATGGGTATTAAAAAGAATATTTAGGTGAAGTCTAACAAGAGCAAGGTAACCAAGCTAACCCTTTTACAGTCTGGGAGGTAATGGCCATCCCATGACATACTATGTTTTAAAAAACAGCCTCTTTCAGAGTGGACCTGACTTCTTAAAATTCACATAAAAAAAAAGCAAAGAACATTTTTCCTATGTTGCCCCAAGTACAGCCAAGTCAACCACGATCCTACTAAAATACTCGCTGTCTGTTCTTCAAAGCCCAACCTTAATCCTTGTGAAAGTTATGAAGTGAAAAAGTTGGCTTATGCATACTTTACAGCATGGTACTACATCATTTTAAGGAGAAAGAACATATTTATTTATGGAAAAAAAAAAAAGCAACAAACTTCTTTCCTTGCAGTAGCCTAACAAATATTGTCCTATACCTTTAAAAGTGTAACAAACATTTATTATAAATTTATTCCCTTCTGATAGATTGTTTTGCCTGTTGTTCTTCCCCAAAGACTACAATTGTATTCACAATCCTGACAAGCACTTTTCGACAGCAGACACGGACACTAGTCATTATTATGGTTACTCTCATTCTTGAAAATTCATTTAAATGAGATTCATCACCAGATAAAATAGCCATAAAATACTCTGTCACACTATTCAAGACAGCATAGTTCAGTTAATATTGGACCCTTTAAGCCATCATAAGCTAGAGGGTGAAAAGAAGAGCAGGGATCAGGGAACACAGAGATAATACAACTCTACAGATGAACAATACTTTTAATTATGTAAGGATGCAAGTCAGTGAAAAAATTAACATTTAAAAGAAATAAATCAAAAGCTGAAGCATTCTCAGCCACAGAAACCACCGGGCCAAGAAAAGATTAAAATCTTTCTACATATGACTTTTGTGCTTCATTTTTTCTCTTTCCAGTCAAAAAGTTGCCCTTTTTCCAAACAGCATACATTCTGATTATCCATATTCCATACAGAAAACCAGTTGCTTGTGGCCAGCAAGAAAGGTGCTTTTCTGCATATTTATCTGACAAAACACAATTGCACAGTTTCTTTGCCAGTTCTATCAGCCATTTTTGAAAGACAGACTCCCATACAAGTCATGGAAGACCTATGGCTTAACGCATTTTGACAAAATCTGTGTTCCCAAGCATATAATTAATTTAAGGATCTGTATTTATTTCTCATTATGAGATATTATTGGTTAAAACTTAATCCACATTATAACTCTCAAATCAGATTTTAAAGTAGCTGAAATCAGGTTTTAGTGGCAGGAAAAGTGATTGTTACTCTGTAAAACACATGTAATAACATACAGAAAAGACTTGGTGAGAACCAACCTGAGGATCCGAGAATACTTGCTGCATGTTGTTGATTGGGCCATATGGAACCCCGCTACCTTCAAAGAGCTGCAACCATTCGATCGTTGCTTTTTCTGAAAACCTAAGAGCAAATAAGAAGCATGTGGTTTCAACTCCGCGCTTTCAGATTCCAAAAGATAATTGTACAGCATGCCTCCTCCCTCTCTCACTGCTTCCATACTCTTCCCCACTGATTTCTTCCCAGTCACTGAGTAACATAATGAAAATGTATGACACGTGGGCTTCAGAAACGCAAAACCCAAAGATATAAGGGAAAGAATGTAGCTGAACTGACTTCTATTTCTGTGCTGGATTGCTTCAGATGATCAGAATGATGTAAAGCTAAATTTATGTACAGTTTCAAATAAGGATCAATGGGTTTCCTCCAGTGCTTAATTACACTAATGTGCTTCACATTTGTTTGCTTTCATGCACATATTTAACAACAAAAAAAAACCAGATAGAACATGGGTACAAGTCTAACATTAAGACACTGCTTACTAAAAGCTGAAGTAAAGCACAGGAGTGTTTTCGTTCCATTACATCCAAAACATACATGAGGATCAAGAGCCACATTTTTTGGCCAGATAACAATATTGATTATCTATTTATTTGCTGTATGATTGTATAACGTATCCTAAGGACCTCTGCTCAGCTTATTTCTTTCTAAGCATTCAATACCATCACATTATTTTTCCTGTTTTGCTAAATACTTTTTCTTTCTCCATTTGTTCAGTACAGTTACACACATGAATAAAAGACTCCTGAAGAACTACCAGTCCCTGAGCGATGGTATTTTCTGAAGCCGTCTTGGATTCTGAATCAAAGGTAAACTTATTTGGAGATCATTTCTTAAATTTCATGATGGTAAATAACACTGAGATCTACTGGATTATTAGAAAGGAAAGCTCTACTTTGTGATATGTACAACTGAAAAAAAATAGGTGCAATTTAATGACTTGATAGAAATTAAATTAATAGCAACCTTGATAAGGGATGCTATTAATGGTATTCTGTACCTCACCAGTTCAGAGTTCACTAAGCATTATCAGGAGCAATGTCAGTAACATTCAGCTTTACCTCTAAGACGTTATTATGCAAAAACAACCTTCCAAGTTTCTGATAGAAAGTTAACAGAGACTAAGCCCAAGGCACAAAAATCCCTAAATCAGTAGAAAGTCAAACTTTGTAAACTTACTTTAATACATACGAAGAGATTGGCTGCAAAGTATTTCATGCTACTTTGAGAATAAACAAAAAGAAACTAGTGGTGGCGACAAATTACATCATAGGTATGGAACCAAACTTCACAGTTCATATCCTTCTCCCTGCCCATGGCATGGGGTTGGAACTAGATGATCTTAAGGTCCTTTCCAACCCTAAATATTCTATGATTCTCCCTGGGCAGTAACAACTTCCCCAAGCTTTGAGGGAATAAATCCTGATACTCAATGCATTTTGCACATAAAACAAATAGGAAAATCATAGAATCATCATAGAAAGGTTTAGGTTGGAAAGGACCTTGAACCTCATCTGATTCCAACCCCCCTGCCATGGACAGGGACACCTTCCATTAAGACCAGGTTGCTCAAAGCCAAGTTTTGCATGGGTCTTCCTCAGAAATGGAAGCTTTACTCCTGATGAATACATGCACAGTAAACAAATAATACTAGTAGAAGTGGAAGGACAATAAAATAGAAAATTCAGAATAAAAGGCTTTAAAAGTGCAAAATGTATTATAAAATGAAGCACTGATTTCTGAAGAAATTAAGCATAATGAAGCATCACTTCTAATGAAAGCATGTAAGATTTTTGCACTGTTCAACTATACACTTCACTGAATATTCAAGTTAATTCATGGTAAAGATGTAGTCAGTCATAAAGATAATGCCAGTCTTGGACACATCTACTGTCCATCTAATTTAGTACTCTGTTGCTGACTGCACCTAGAAACCAGGTACACTACAGGAAACTGGGGAAAAAGGTAACTAGAGAGGTAGATAACCTTCCCTCCTCAGTGAATGCAGCCATTAGGAAAGCATGACTATAATTATAATTTGCATTTCCCTTCAGTACTCTGTTTGGCAACAGTTCTCATAATCTGAATATACTTCTTATTCATAGCCTCCTATTACTAAGGTTTGGGGCTCAAAATATGCACAGTGCAAATATGATTCACATATAAACTGTTCCCCATCAGTTATTGGTGCTATTTATACAGAATTGTGCTGTTCTGTGTTAGCAACTGAGATATTTCCCTCCTGAAATGCTTCATAATTCATGGCCCACTAACTCTTTTTTTATAAATGAAAAGCTTTTTTCAGATACTACTTTTTAATGACACCTCAACCTCCACTACTATCTCATTTCCAAGAAAAGGCAGCATATCTACAAGAGGACTCTTGAACTCCATCATAACCATGGTGCTTAGGACCCTCACTAAGAAATTATACTTATTAATATTTTTATCGTCATTCCCTTAATCATCTGATGTCCAAAGAATGACACTCTCAAATGAATCTTTATCTGTCCACAGAACTTCAGTAATACCCAGTGACTGCAGAACTGAACCACGTGATTCACGCTCCAGCATCATATATTTCCAGATGAGTCCCTTTTCCATCTAAAATGTTCCATCTGCTATAGATAGAACCACATAAATGCCATTTAAATTATGATTTATTTGTAGAATCATTTTAAATCTGTAGTTTAGCTTTCCATAATTATTACCAGTATTTTAGAAGTTCAAAAGAATTTGCTTTTTCACTGCACTAGTCTGTACTGCAAAGCTTGAATGCAGGCTCTTTCTGAAAACACCTCTGAAAACAGAAGGATATGTACCCCAATGGAGAACAAACCCATTGCTGCAAAGCCTGTATGAAGGCTTCCTTCACAAGAAAAGGTTGTAGTCTGCATGACATCTTATCTGCATTCTAAACAGTACTCTAAGCCTTCTCTGCACTGAATTATACAGCACTCATGAAGATACTGAAGTTGCATTACTGAAATGAGGCATGAGACTCTGGAACTTTTAACATTAGAGATACTTCATGCTTAGAAATACAAGACTAGAAAGAGCAGCATGAGCTAACTGAAATGTTATTTGATGATAAAAAAATCCAACTAAATATATTTTTCCTCAATTTGTAAATCCAGCAGGCACCATTAAATGAAAAACTCTAAATTTAAACTATAAATTAATGAAAAAAAATTACAGCATAATATAAAAAACTGCCTCCAAAAGTAAAAGAAAAAAATCTATCTAATAAGAAGAGCTCACACCTTATTTCCTTACTCAAACCATAAGTGTAGCTTTGCTTCCTAAAAAGCAAGACCCTAACTGCTTTCTAACAAATTTTAATAATAAAAGGGAGAATGGATATTTATAAAAGACAATATCAAAGCATAGAAAAATGTTTTAAAGCAAGTATTAAGGAGAAAAGAAAGACTGTTTGCTTGAATTGCACAAGTTGGATGAAATGGCTTTAATGAATTAGAAACATACCCAGGTTCTAGTAAAATACATTTTTCTCATGATGTTAATTATTGTGAACTTTATTTCTTTTTAACAAATATTGTCTTTCAATGAAATAAAGACTTCTAAAGCATGAATGAATCTACTCTGTGTGTATTCGTTGCATATATCCCATCTTTCATGTTTCCTAAGAAACCTTCAATCATTGGTACAGCCTTCGTAAAAGCCCATCCATGTTTCTCTAATGGATAAAACCATCCAAATCCACACAAGGTAAGTTTAGAAAAACTACTGAAGCAAAATACTACTTTTTTCTATAGGAAGCTTATGGCAATTAATTTAATTTAGAGAAGTAACTTGGACAGCTACCAAATGTAGATGGAACAGCAACATCTGGCTTTTTATATACAGTCAATCACAAAAACCTTCTCTGTTCTTGCTGAAGTCCACAAAAGCATTCTGGTGTTTTTCAGCACAACTTGAATTTGCATTGTTTTTTCCATTGGTTTGTTCTATCAACAGTCTAGTTTCAAATACCTACAATATTTTCCCTCTTCAATGGTAGTTAACCAACTAAAATAGTTTGTATTGTGTCTCACAGTTGTATCTATGGAAGACACCATGCAAAATTAAAAGTCATAAAAAAAGTTTATTTGAAAAATTCTGATAATGGCTCATTATCCCTTAGTGTACAGTAAATATACAATTAGAGTTTTCAAAATTAATACTATACTATTAACTCAATAGCATGTAAGCATTTCTGTGTTAGTGTCTAATTAGCATCCCTTGCTTACTGATTAATCACTCCATGAACCACACCAGACCCTTAATTATCTTTGGGATCAACATGATTGTACTGACACACAGTACATTTTTGCTGATGGGTATGCCAACTACTTTAAACAATGTCAGCTATAGTAAATTGTAAGTAGTAGCTACATAAAGCACAGCCTAGATATTTACAGGTACCACAGATCCACCTTGAAACTTGTTTGTATTTCTGCATATTATAAATATTCATATCAGTCTAACAGAACTACCTTTATGTACAGAACTTGTACTACAGATGAATAAACATTTGTGTTCCTTTAGAAAGTTTTAAAACCATTATGACTTTTAAGGAACATCCATAGGGGCTCCTGAATAGTAAAATCCAGCATGTTCCAGAACTAATTCTCTCTGGATTCAAATAATGTTTCACTATGCACACTAAAAGTATGCTCCCTTTACTCAAGCATTCCTCTCTTTTTCTCAAGTAAGCAAAAGGACTGCAACTTCTATAGTTATAACAGAGGAAGTGTAAATTAACTTGAAAACTGCTAGGCAAACACACATTGATAAAAGCCCATTGAGGATAATGGAAAGATAGATGGATTTTGTCACTGTTCTTTTAACTGCTCAATGGCAGAAAAGCCCTAACAAGGGTCAGGTCAAAAAGCTCACTCAAAACCCAATCAGAAGATATCCCTTGATTTCAGCAGCCTTGTAGCTAGTAATACAAGTCATCAGGAAAAAGAAATAGCAAGTTCCCTTTGGGGAAGGATCTTCACCTTCCCACATGTATGGAAACACTTGGAGGTTCATAAAATGGCAGGAAAAGAACACAG